AACGTGGATCATAACAGACAAATTCTGCGAAACAGTGATGAATTTGTCCATAGAATTTTTACTGCATAACACGGAAACAAGGAAACAGTAATGGTTTTCATGGAGAATTTGTTTACCTGTTATATCACAGAAACTACTTGATGTGTCCTCTCTCTCACTGTTCAGAAATATTCGTACACTCTTCAGCAGAGGTTATTGTATTATTTTCCCCTTGTTCTAGGAAAGGCCTGTTGTTTTGCATTAGTGTGAATGAATAAATAAATATACATCCATGGAGGCAAAGAAGGGAATGTAGGAGACTATATTGGTACCAACACTTACCATGGGTGTGAAGCATGGGTTGTAAATACTGCAACGAGGAGGAGGCTGGAGGCAGTGGAGATGTCCTGTCTAAGGGCAATGTGTGATGTAAATATTATACAGAGAATTCAGTGTGGAAATTAGGAGGTGTGGAGTTACTAAAAGTATTAGTCAGAGGGGTTGAGGTGGTTTGGCCATTTAGAAAGAATGGAACAAAGTAGAATGATTTGGAGAGCGTATCCCCTCAAGGGAGGTGCTTTGACGCTGGTGAGGGGCTCTTGATCTAGGGAATCGAATCTGCTCCAGTTCCCTGAATTGAGTCTGAATACCTTCCATCTCCCCCCACATACGCTGTATAATCCTACAGGTTAAGCGCTCCCCCATGATTATAATTATAATGAGAGCATATAAATCTGTAGGGGAAGGAAGGCGGAGTAGGGGTCGTCCTCGAAAAGGTTGGAAGGAGGGGGTAAAGGTGGTTTTGTGGGTGAGTGGCTTGGACTTCCAGCAAACATTCATAAGCATATTAAATAGGCCTTAGACAAGATGTGTGATGTCACCATGGTTGTTCAATATACATGTATTTATAGATGGGGTTGTAAGAGAAGTGAATGGGCAGGCGTTGGCAAGAGGTGAGGGGATAAAATATAAAGAATCTAACACAAGATAAAGAATGTAACACATCAGTTCTCTGCTGAAGACGCTGTGCTTTTGGGAGATTCTGAAGAGAAGTTGCAGAGGTAGGTGGATGAGTTTGGTAGGGTGTGTAAAAGAAGAAAATTAAGTGAATATCGGAAAGAGTAAGGTGATGAGGGTAAAAAAATTAGGTGGTGAAAGATTGGATGTTAGATTGGAAGGAGAGAGTATGGAGGAGGTGAATGTATTCAGATATTTAGGAGTGGACGTGTCAGCAGATGGGGTCTATGAAGGATGAGGTGAATCATAGAATTGATGAGGGGAAAAAGGTGAGTAATACACTTAGGAGTCTGTGGAGACAAAGAACTTTGTCCGTGGAAGCAAGGAGGGGAATGTATGAGAGTATATCCATACTAACGCTCTTATGTGGGTGTGAAGCATGCGTGGTGAATGTTGCAACAAGGAGAAGGCTGGAGGCAGTGGAGATGTCATGTCTGAGGGCAATGTGTGGTGTGAATATAATGCAGAGAATTCGTAGTTTGGAAATTAGGAGGTGCGGGATTATCAACATTATTATCCAAAGGAAGGTTTAGAATATGGGGCTCTAGAAAGAGGGCTGAGGTTGTTGAGGTGGTTTAGACATGTAGAGAGGCTGGATCAAAATAGAAGCTTCAAGTGTATAAATCTGTAGTGAAGGGAAGGTGCAGTAGGAGTTGGCCTAGGAAAGGTTGGAGGAAGGGGATAAAGGAGGTTTTGTGTGCAAGGAGCTTGGACTTCCAGCGAGCATGTGAGAGCGTATTTGACAGGAGTGAATATATTATTATTATAATCAAAAAGAAGTGCTAAGCCACAAAGGAGTGAATATAGACAAATGGTTTTTAGGACTTGATGTGTTGTTGGAGTGTGAGCAAGGTAACATTTATGAAGGGATTCAGGGAAACCGGCAGGCTAGACTTGAGTCCTGGAGATGGGAAGTACAGTGTCTGCACTCTGAAGGAGGGGTGTTAATGTTGCAGTTTTTTAACTGTAGTGTAAACATGGCTCTGGCAAGACAGTGATGGGGTGAATGATATTGAAAGTTTTTCTTTTTCAGGCCACTGCCTTGGTGGGAAACTGCCAATGTTAATAAAAAATAAAATAATTTTTTTGCCTCATCAGCAATCTCCTGCCAAGGCAGGGTGACCCAAGGAAAAAACATTCACCATTCATTATTATTACGTAGTACTGTATTATCACCAAAACTAAGCACTAAACCCACAAGGGTCATACAACACCACCATTCATTCAGTTGCTGTCTTGCCAGAAGTGTACAGACATCGCATATCAGATTATCCTTTAACTGCAGCATCCCCACCCCTTCTTAAGTGCAGGCATAGAGTCCAACTAACCAGTTTTACAGAATCCTTTCATGACAGTTACTTTGCTTACATTCCAAGAACACATCTGTTTATAACCACTTGTCTTTGGTTGCTCCTATCTAAGACTCATACAAACTTGCTGGATACTGAAGCCCAAAAACTCAAAACCCCTTTTACCCCCTCCCTCCAACCATTCCTAGGATGATTCCTGCCCATTCTACATTCCACCCCAGATTTATACACCCTCTTCATCGTCCTATCCCTCCCCATCCTCTCTACATGACCAAACCACTTCAACGATCCTCCTCATTCCTCTGGTGACCCCTCTCCATCACCTTTCATGCTCTGAATTCTCTGTATGATGTTCACACCGCAAGTTGCTCTCAAACGTGACATAACTGACTCTAGAATCCTTTTTGCTGCAATGTGGAATACCCATGTCTCACACCTATTTAAAAGTTACACAAAAAAGGCATTTATCTTATAAAATTTGGGGTATATAATTATTATAATAATCATAACTAAGTGCTAAACCCACAAGGGTCATACAGCAAAATTTGAAGTAAGAAAAAACATTTGTCTTACCAAAAAATAAAATGATAAATTATTATTATTATTATTATAATCAAAAAGAAGTGCTAAGCCACAAAGACTATACAGCGCTGCAGGGCAGGAAGGAAGCGAGGGCATCAGGTGGCAAAAGGGAGATGGATGAGTAATAGGTTACGGATAACAGCGGGGCAGTGGATGGTGAAAGGGTAAAGGGCAGCAAGAGACTGAACTAGAAAGGGCTGAGGGGAGTGTGAAAAGTATCATCAGAGTTTGTGGAGTAAATCAGTCGTTGTCAAGAAGTCAATGAGAGAGTCAGGATTAAAGGAGGGTCCATAAGCAAGAAGGGAAGGTAAAGAGAGAGTAGTAGAACGAAGACGACGTTGGAGGTAAATTCTGCGTGCTCGTTGATAGAGAGGGCAGTCTAACAGAATGTGGCTAATCGATACTGGAACTTGACACTGCTCACAGAGAGGAACAGGGTGCCTCTCCATGAGATACCCATGAGTAAGACGAGTGTGACCAATGCGAAGGCGGGAGAGAGTGGTCTCCCAACCTCGGCACTGATGACAAGAAGACGACCAGTAACCTATGCTCGGTTTAATAGAATGAAGTTTGTTACCGAGCAGAGTTGACCAACGTTGTTGCCAACGGGTGCGAAGGTGGGTAGCTATTGCAGCAAAATAGTCCAGAAATGGAACACCTCGATAGGAAATTGGTAGGTCATGTACTGACCGCGCAGCAGTGTCTGCTTGTTCATTGCCCTGTACGTCGACATGACCAGGGACCCAACAAAAAACAATATCTTTATGTTTGGTAGAGATACGGCATAGCCAAAGTTGGATACGGAGAACTAGGGGATGAGATGTATCAAATTTTCGTATAGCCTGTAGAGCACTAAGGGAGTCTGAGACTACTACAAATGATGACACAGGCATGGATGCGATACGATAAAGCTTACATTATTATATTAAGGGGACAACCCCAAATCCATAGGGGTCATGCAGCTCATGGGAAATGGGAGGCAATCAAGTTCAATCCAAGAGGAGACATGCTCAAATTCCTTGAATCAAGAGACCCTTGAGGGAGAATTCTTACAGAATATCAACAGCAGTTAGGTATGCTGATGAATTGTAATGTGGTGTCACCTACAGCCACAAACTTGGAGTGTGTATTTGCTTTTGAGGTTTGCACACAGACTATGAATCTCATCTTGCAGTTTGTGTTATCTAAGCCAACCAAGACATATGCTAAATAGCATGTTTATTGGTTGGAATGCAGAACATTTTTCTTATCAGTGTGAGTGGGTGTGGGACCAGGAACATTTATGACAATATTGCACAAGTTAGAAAACTACCACTGCATTTTAAAAGTCAGGACCATAGTCAAAGAAAACTGCTAGTTCAGAGATAAAAAAAACAACTCCAGTATGCAAGTTCCTGGAGGCATTCTGAAGTTCTAAATTTTGCACTACGGCTGTTGGTTAGGTAGTTTATACAGTTTCACATCAACACATGGTCTGTGTGGACAACTCTCTGGAATAAACTTCACAAATATATATTAATAAAAAAAGAAGCACTAAACCTCTAAGGGTCTTCACAAATATAAATTGCTGATGCAGGGCATTACAAGCATTACGTTAGCTGGAGATTCGTCTGTAAAAACTTGCATTTGTGGTCACAGAGGTGCCTGTGCTAACCTTCCTATGGTGTAGAAATATACCTAGTTGGATGAATCTTATTGTGGCTAGCTGGTCTAGTGGCTAACGCGATGGGCTGGAGTTTTGAGACTATGACCGCGGGTTCAATCCCGGCCGGGGGTATGGTTTGTTTGCAATCGTGTCATTACGATTTCTTAAGTCAAGTCATTACGTTAGGGTGTCATGTTGAAAAGAAAAAAAAATATAGGAGGCATGATAGAAGAGCCTTGACCTACCCCCACATCTAATTGAAAACTTTCAGACACACTTTAAAAACTCTTACTTTCCACTTGTCTTCCCTATCCAGCCAAGTTTCAGAACCTCCCCATAAAATCTTTTTAGTCATATGATTTTTTTAATATAATTTTTTGCAAAAATGTCAGATCAACACAATTCTTGTAGAATACTGCCAAAATTTGGCCCAAAGTAAATCTAGGTTTAAAAATACTTGTACAGGAGAATTTTCAAAGGTTTATTACAAATACTGCCAATGTTATATTACAATTCATCTAACATTGGTAGCAACTAAAAATATTAATTCTTTGCCATAAATGAACAGAATCTTACATACATTCTAGGTAGCAACAGTGAATAAATATCAAATGCTATGTACATATCTATATTCATTATGATTGCATTTCCAGGCTTTGTGAAGTATCATTAGAAATAAGATTGATTAATGCTGACTTTCATTACAGTACTGGTATCAGCTTATGCACATAAACATTCCTTTATAAATGTTTATATTCCAATATCAAGTCAAAATTGTATGCATGATAATACAAATTTTTAGTAAATTTTAATGAACTTGGAGATACCAGCCAAGATTCAAAACTTGAGTGAATAACAAAAGCTTTTAGCCTGGATCTGTTAACAACACTTCCCAATATTGAGTTTATTGATGTACACTACTAATGGACGACTCTGTAACAAATGCACCACCAATGAATGGCTAACATTATGACAATAACTATCCATTGTTAGTAAAGTTTCTCCTGCATTCACAGAAAAGCTGACTAGATCCTGATACTATTATTTATTACAATAGAAAAGTAAATAAAATATAGAAAAACAAACACTGAGCAGCTCCCTGAAACACCCGGTATGACAAGCATACTATACATGACGTGTAATCAAGCAGCTATATGCTTGGAATTATTCATCTAATCAAAGATTGAAGAGAACACTGCAGTTGCCTTATTTCATGTTACAGCTTTGATTTTATATTTATAACATCAAAGACTTTATTAAATGTGTGACTATAGGATCAACACACTTGAATTTGAATTGCACCTATGCATATAACATAACACACCATAAAGTACCAAGATAGCTTTTGCCCATCTGATAAGACTTTCTCTACAAGTCATGCAGAACAAAAAAATTTCTAAGAATGAGTATAGATACACTTGAGGTTACTGAAGATATGTATTGTACTGCATTACTCCAGTACAGGCACAAAAGTAATGCACATCTTTATTATTAGCCCAAAAACTTGTATCACACTCAAGAATGGTATCTCTGAATAAACTACTTTGGTGCTTTAGTACATTTTTATTCTGTCCTGTTACAGTAAAAGCAGCAAGATTACATAAGGTATTTTAAATACATGTGCAAATAAAACAGTGTGTGTGTTACAAGTGGAAAAGATCATACAAAAGAAATTCTACTATCCTAAGACAGATCTTCTATATTTTAGGCAATTTCTTCCTGGTATTATCACATATTCCTAGCCAGAATCCTACTTACTGCAGAAATGCTAAGAGTACAAGTCCCTAAATAATTCACAAACCTTTATAAAAGGTCTACAAGAATATAAAATAAGAATATAAAATACAATGGGTGAACCGATGATACCAAAGTCAATTTTTTTTTATTTTACAAATGCACTCAGCTGGCTAGACTCAATATTTACCATTTGCACAAACAAATACATCCACTCTCAGCAACACTCAAAACATTACAAGTATTACCTAAAAAAAGGAATGGTAATGGTGTAAAACTGCAATTATTTAAGGTTGAAAATGTCATGCTGGCACTTGCCTTTAAACAATAAAAATTTGAAATAAAGAAAATAATTCATATTGATTTTTAGTGTAGGCTAACTCATATTCCATACCTGAATGAACAAAATATAATTTTACTAAACAGATTTTAAGTTGATTTTATTATGTACTGTATACAACAAAGTTCCAAAAAGGAGAACTATAGTAGCTGCAACAAATTTTTTTTTAATTACATGTACTGTACAGTAATAAATGCACATGGTATATTACTTCTGCCAACACATCATAGAGCCTCAAAATTTTTTAAATTTTGACTTACTTATATTTAAAATACAGTATTTAGACCCACATTTTACTCATCCAGCCTTTTTCTTTTTCACATTGCACAACTATAATACTTCCTCATAAATTTTGGGGTTCTTTCAGATTACTCTTGGTTAAACACTGAGCTCTGTGGGAATGCATCATGTTCAGCTCAGTAGTTGCTGTTTAGCCCCACAGTCAAATCAATTTCATTGCACAGTGCCACCATCAAGTACACAGTATATTATAATTTTATACTACTGGATACCTATACAAATTAATTCTAACAAGTCTACTCAGGATCGTAGCTAAACTTGTTCAGCATGCTTGTGACTTGGTAGAAACATGTTCTTGTTGTCACCAGTTGCTAAAGGCACTTGTTAAACACTTGGCCTGTTCTGTGTGTGTTACCAGTATGTGCATGCAAGAAAAAAAAAAAAAGAGAGAAAAAAAAGAAAAAGAAAATGTGAATGGTTGTTTATTACATCCCTTTATTCCTTTCACTACAAACTGAAATTTCACACTATCACGAATTTTATAATATGGATCTATCAGGTAAATGAGACACCCATTTTGAACCAATTTTAAGATTAACATATAGTAACATCATCTTTGCTGCATTTATGTTGATGGTTGTTTGATTCCCAGATAAAGCATTTTCTTTATGTTGTTATATTACCAGTTGCGAGACATTTCATTTTGCACAGAAACAAATGAAGCATCACATAATCAGAAGTTACTGTGCACCCAAATTGTCCTGACAGTTTTGTAAAAGTGATCAAGGGCATGGCTGACTGCAAATGACTGAAGGAATTTGGTTTGAGCTCTTTTGAGGATCAGCAGTAGCATCTCTTGTCCCTCCTCTTTAGGGACAGTGGGTCAAGTCACATACCATTCCCACCTTCAAAAATATACAGTAAAGTATATGCCATCTATATAAATGTATTTAGTGAATTTTTTTACTGTGGGGATGCTGCAGTTCAGATGGTCATTGGAAGTGTAATGTTTTCACACACCTGGCAAGACAGCTATTGAATGAATGTGGTGAATGTGATTTTTTTTTCTGGTGAAAGATCGTTGTAGTTAAAAAATAACAAGAATAAATATTGTGCCTCTGACAAATGCTCTCTCTCTCTCACATGCACTTTCACACTCAGCAAATTCATTCACTGAATGTAGTGTTATAAACCTATACATATTTAGCACTTTTTTATAAATAATTACAATAAATAATAATAATAACCACAACTATGAGATACTTTAAGTAATAAACAGTATTTAATGACTTTTTTACAAAACAATTGTACTGTACATCTATGTCCTGCCATAACTAAGGAGTCATAATGCATAATGTTTTGTCTCATACACCCAACCCCAACAGTAAATTAATGAATTACAGTCAGTTATAAAAGAAGTCACAATGAATGCCTTATTAAGCCAAACTTTTGCTTGGAGATCAAGCTTTTTCAAGTCTGTTGTAAGTACATGGGAATATGCAGGTGGTCTGGATCTCTAAGTCAACCTCTTGCTCCCAGGAACACCTACACAACCAAACAATTAGTAAGAGATTTCCAAACAAGAAGACAACTGAAAAAAATTACAATACTGTTACTAATGCTTATGGTCTTCAGAGGATTAACCAAAATGTCACAACTTTATTCCAACAGCCAATGGAAGAAAAGTATCAGCTTTGTTCTTTGCTATGGACACTATACTATCATAGATACAAATCCCTTTTGCAAACCTCCCTGACTTGACTTTTGCAGTTGTTCATATGCTCAGGTCAGCTGTGGCTACATCCCCACTCCATCTATACATCCCCAAGTTTCCCATGTAAGCATTACAGACTTGAAAAAGCTAAGCACAATATTGTCTTAATAAAGTGTCCATTCTACCTTTGTCTTTATATTGTAACTTGAAAGTATCTTATATCTCTCATACTCAAGATCAGTTATGTAAAGAAAATGATACAAAAAGACTGAACATGACTTAGAGGGTAAAAAAAAACTCAAGACTGGAACCGTAATTTTTAGAGCTGGAGTTTGGCTTTCTGAGGCGCTAATCTATGTAAAGTTAAATTATTATAATCAAAAAGAAGCGCTAAGCCACAAGGGCTATACAGCGCTGCAGGGCAGGAAGGAAGCGAGGGTATCAGGTGCAAAAGGGTGATGGATGAGTAATAGGTTACAAATAACAGCGGTGTGGATGGTGAAAGGGTAGAGGGCAGCAAGAGATTGAGGTAGAAAGGGCTTAGGGAAGTGCGAAAGGTATCATCATCAGAGTTTGTGGAGTAAATCAGTCATTGTCAAGAAGTCAATAAGAGAGTCAAGATTAAAGGAGGGTCCATCAGCAAGAAGGGAAGGTAAAGAGAGAGTAGTAGAGCGGAGACGACGACGGAGGTAAATTCTGCGTGCTCGTTGATAGAGAGGGCAGTCTAACAGAATGTGGCTAATCGATACTGAAACTTGACACTGCTCACAGAGAGGAACAGGGTGCCTCTCCATGAAATACCCATGAGTAAGACAAGTGTGGCCCCAAAACTTTTAAAGTCAAAACAGGTAACAGTAAGTATATGGGAAGGGAGCAAAAATTTTTGAGGCCCCTTATATCATAAGCTGTAGCTTAGTTAGCTTATGCCTATGTCACACCCTCAGTTTTATACAACCAGTTTTAGCACCATTATATACCCTTATCATATGGTGATTATAAAGGGAATACAGTATACTGTATGTCATATTTATCTAATAAAAGACATGCTTCAAAGAGTATAGGTTTAAAAATAAATCACCTAATTAAAAATTATAAATTCTCTGGATCTGATTTATTGGGTAGAATTGTAAACAAGTTATGTATTTAAAGTAAACATGAGCAACAGTGCAAATTAAGTTGTAAGGAGATTATTTTAATAACTAATAGCTTTGCACATTGGTGCCAGTGTTTTATCACTATTTGCTAGTAAATGTATTATGTGCCATCAGTCAATGGCACTTTATAAACAGTGGGTCTGCTGTCAGCACAATCTCTTAACTCATGCAGCGGTACCAGGAACATTTTGAATGGTGTGTCAAATGAGAATTACATGGCACATTATACCAAGGGCCAATTAAACCAGTCGACATGTAGCACCATCTACCAACTACAGTATCAATAGGACAACTATTGGTACAATGCCACTAACACAACAAGGCAAACCTACTAGTACACCACACCTGCTTATGTGTATATCTCAAAACTGCATTTACTATAGTAATTTTGTTTAGGATACTCTATCGCTAATTTCTGTATAATCCCTACGGGTCTAGCGCTTCCCGTGATTAGTATCACTAATTTAAATTAAGAAAAAAAAATACTTAAGCAGTCCTTATTTACCCATAAAATAAAGATTCTTTCAAGAAAAATAATCTTTGCTATTTGCTTGCACATAAAAATATCAAACATATGGTGAATTTCTAAACAAAACTACACTCTGATTAGTGTGTTAAAACCAATGTATGTTCTACTGGTCAGCAGGGCAGTTGCACAGATACAATGATCATAACATGCTGATTTTATTTTAATTGCTGCAAAAATACAACAGGCCTCATGTTTGGATGCAAGAATAATTTGATTCACAATCAACACATTCTGTACCTCTTGTTTTTTGTAAAATAAATCATTTTAGATCCAACTGAGCACTTGGGTGATTTGGGAGATAGAGTTCTCCTATATATTCTCAGCAGTAATTACTGTAAAGACTTCTTACCTCCAAAATTGCCACGCTATTTCCATGACTGATAGATATAAAATTATTCTCTAAGGAATTTAAAAAAAAAATCAAGAGTACTATTCAATGCATTGCACTTTATGTTTCATTACACAGTACCACTCAATATCCATATTGTACTTTAAAATAATTTAAAATTTTATTTTCTCACATCTGATTATAAATGGTTAAGTCATTAAATTATGTTACTTTTCACAATTTTTAATAATTAACATATTTAAAAACTTTAAATAAACTTATAAAAATGATGACATCAATACTTGCATACCAAAGGAACAAGTTTCTTACATGCATAAAAAATTTCATTGGTAATTTTATCTCATTTGAAAAATATGCTTTCACATTTTACACTTTAAAACTCTCATTGGCTGCATTTGTGATAATGCTCTGTTACAGCAGAAACCCTAAGAGAAAATGTGCATCACATGAGACAATGGTCTGAATGTACATAAAACAGTTTAAGCAACTCATGCAGTAGCATTAAGTGTGAACGAGTCTGTAAACAGAATGCGGTACCATGTATGGTACAGAATCTAATTAACAGTTTTGCTACATGAGCTTTCTTAATAGAACATCGACATTATATCGAATGTTTGTCTAATACAATCTCGGTCCTATGTGGCGTTATGGACTTCGTTAAACATTACATACCAAACAAAATAATATTTGACAAAAGGCAAGTAATAGTGACTCACCACAAAAATCTACAGGTGAGCTGTCAAATGCATGCATTAGGCATCGATGGGCTATTTATATAAAATGATGATTGTTATGAGAAATGTTTTAAACACTAGCAGGCATGATGATTTTTTTTTTTTTTATTTGCAGCTAGGTACAAATTAAATTTTTTTCCCATGAATTTAACAGGTCAATCTGTAAGATAACCATCATTAAGATGAATAGGTTTCAGGTGCCAGTGTTTTAGCTGAAGTGGCTCATACTCTACTGTACCAGTATTCATTCCACAATATTTGCAGACTGTAATATTACAGCTTGATATTCACTGAAAATATTCAGAGGTCAGTGATGATGACTTCATGAATATTAAGAAAGTCAAGTCTACTTTTGAATGGGTTTAGGTAAAAAATAAGATTTTTAGTCTGAAAATAAACTCCTTTACTTACGGTCAAAAATATATTGCAAAGTTCCTTTAGAAAGTTTCCAAGTGTTGCAAACACTACTCCAATGCTGTGTAAGGATTTCTTCATAATAAAAAGTAACTTGTTTGACACCTTTAATAATTACAATTAAGTGCTCAGCACTCATTACAATACACTTTCTTTTGAGTGTACTGCTTCCTGGAACAATTCCTAAAGTAGTATTAGGTTACAATACTATGGAGGCTTTTCAAATGCAAGCTTAATGGCACAACCATTACATACAACAGAAACAAATTATGCCTAACTCCCACAAAGCCCCCATTTCCATATTTGTTGGTTGGCTGAAGTTTCATTCATGTGAACCAATATTTGCAAACCTGATGGTAGCTGAAAATTCAAGGTGAGCACTTTGGAACAGGACCATCTTTACCAATTTTGAATAAATGTCACTTAATACTGATCTACTTTTGATAAGCTCTTTTTTTTTTTATCACACATCAAAATAGAGTATTAAACCCAAGTAATCCACATCTTGGGTGATTCCATTAATGGCCACATTTTAATGTTTAGCTTCATAAACTCCCAAAACAGACACAATTTAAAGATATTAAATTTAATGTTTGGATGGCAGAAGGTAGATGCAGTTTCCCAGCTAAAAGCTGCTTAATAATTTGAAATAGCATTAACAAAAATATTCTCAATGTCATATTGATATTCCTCAATGAGACTGGCATTCAAGAGAACTGTATTCTTTATGATGAAAAATCAATTCACGATCTGTAACAATCAATTTCAGCAATAAAGGCTGAAAGGCGGTCTTCAGAGTCATACTCATTTGCAAGATACAAGAGCCGTACACTGTCCTGTGTATAGCTTTCCATTACTCCTTCTGTTTCAAAAAACTTTACAGCATTTCTTATTGGCTCTACACACATACTTTCACCTGAAAGAAAAAAAAGTAATTTAGCTTAGCTGGAGAAACTGATTTAATTACCAATAATTTATTTTCAAAGGAGCAAGGGGCTAGTAACCCCTTCTCCTATGTAAGTTACTAAATTTAAAAGAAAAAACTTTCACGTTTCTCTTTGGGTCACCCTGTGGCCAGTTTGTTAAAAACAAAAAATCATAACTTGTGTACAGTAAGGCCCCACTTATACAGCAGGTTAGATTCCAGGCTATCGCCGGAGAACAGAACGCCATTTTTTTCCATTTATAAATGCATATAAATGCCAGACAACAAGTTTGCACTAACTTATATTAAGTTAGTAATAGAAATAGGCATTAAAAAACACAATAAAAAGTAAAATATATTACACAATACATTCATTACTTACCTTAAAATATTTGTAGTCTTATTAATGTAGGGCGAGAGGTGAGTAGTACTTATTTGTAGGAAGTCAGGTGTAGGGAGCCCTGGCTCCCCATCCCAAACTTAATAGCATACGATATTTAAAGCAGCCCAGAGAGATAAAATACACATACAGTACACTCATTATTTACCTTAAAATATGTGTAGTCTTAATGTTGGATGAGAGGTGGGTAGTACATTTATTTGTAGAAGTCAGTGTAGATAGCTGATAGGTGTAGCCCACCTGTGCTATACCTACCAGCTACCTACACTGTGGCCCAGAGCCATATTATTACCATCGACATACCTTGTTCACTGAATTTAATTGTTTCTAACAACTACCTTTAGATGCCGTCATAAACGAAGGGAGAATTAATGAATAATTCATGATGAGAATTATAAACAAAAGCGGAGTGACCAGGCCAAATGCAGATTTATACACGTTTTTTGGTGCTGGACCAGAGAAAATGTAATGCTTTCCCTCAGCCCGGCATATAAACATAGCATGTTTAAATGCTATGTAACGTGTTTCTTATATAATTTTGAAGAAAATATCATAGATGGATTAATGAAAATGTCTATATTAACATAAAATAAGACATTTAATGTGCCCAAGAGTGATTATTATTAGTATTACGTAATGTTTTCCCTCCGCCCGGCAACCACACCCACATAGCATGTTTATATGTTATGTAATGTGTTTCTTATATAATTTAAGAAAACATCATAGATGGATTAATGAAAATGTCTATATTGATGTAAAATAAGACATTTAACGTCCCCAAGAGTGATTATTATTACGTACTATTAGTATTACTACAGCGTTAAGACTAGAGGGACATTCTTAGTGATTTAATGTGTACCTGCATGCCAGCACAGTGTGTAAGTATATTTAGGTATAGGTACACAAGTATTATTATCAGAAAACACATAAAATATGTAATAACTTTAAAACACTTGAAATTTTGGAAAGGTTCCAGACATAATAGAGATGCGCTCACGGAGAATGTAAACAAACCTGGTGGCTTGAGCCGTATTAGAAAGACAAGCTGCTGTATAGCGAGTTTTGGTCATAATTTGAAATCGCCATATTAACGGAACACCATAAGGCGAAACACCATAAAGCGGGGCCATACTGTATATGAGAGAACTAGAGTTCAAGAAGTAGCAATAATATTAATTAATCAATAATGGAAAGAGAGGAGAGGGCACAAGTGCTTAAATACAGTTTCCCGGTTAAAAGCTGATCAATAACTTGAAATAACATTAACAAAAATATCCTCAATGTCATACTGACATTCTTAAACAAGACTGGTATTCAAGAGAACCGTATTCTTTATGATGAAAAATCAATTCATGATCTGTAACACTCAATTTCAACAATAAAGGCTGGAAGTCATTCTTTGCAGCCTTTCCCTGTCCTCATCTATTTGTATTCTCATCAGTTTTACATCAGCAACTAGAGATGCATCTGGCTTTATTTAATTTGGTATGTAGTTCACAAACTAGAAACAGCACCAGTCTTAATACCAAACCTTGTGGAACACCACTGGTTACTCTTCCTCATTCTGACTCTCTTCCCAGACAATGCTCTTTACTTGCTTCTCCTAATGTACTTCTTGATTCACTGGAATACATTCCCAATTATTCCCTGCCTGTTTCACAAGTTTTTGCCCCAGTCTCATATGGTGGTACAGTGGTCATCTTTACTAGCTGCAAACAAAGGTATTTTGGAGCCTCTAGTGGTGGCAAGTAGCCTTAGATCATCTGGTGACCATTAGGTGCGCTGTAGCCTTCTAACTAATCAGGGGTACATTGAGAGTCAAGCTTGATTATTTCATGTCATAATCATTCCAGCCAACTAGGTTCTCAGAGGCCATTAGATATTCCTTATAAAAGTTTGAGTTTTTTCCTATTCCACAGCATGGCTCTGGGCCAGGATTTTCTGGTGCTTGTCTGGTCAACCAGGTTGTTGATGCTGGCAGCACAATGGCCCACATATTCATCACAAACTACTACTGCAGAGAATTTGGAGAGTGGAGATTAGGTGTGGGGTTACCAAAAATATAATTCAGAGGGCTCAGGAAGCATTGTTGAAGTGGTCTGGACACCTTAAAGAGGATGGAGAAAAATACAATGACTAGGAGGGTATACAAAAATAGAGTTGAGGGAAGGAGGGGGTAAGGGTTAATCTAAGAGGCATAAGGGTCATCACAAGAGGGCTAAAGGGAAAGGGGGTAAAGAAGGCTTTAGAGTGCTAGGGCCTGAACATACACCAGGCTTGGGTGAGCACATCAGATCAGAGTGGAGACAAGTAGTTTTTATGACTTGACATGTTGTTGGAGTATGAGCAGGATAACATTTAGGAAAGGATTCAGGAAAACTAGTTAGCCAGGCAGCTAGTACAGTGCTTGCACTCTAAAGGAGAAACGCAGATGTTGAAGTTCAAAGGGGCATCTGGACTTTAATGTCAGCATAATTCCAGCAAGACAGTGATGGAATGAGTAACAGTGAATAACTTTCTTATTTTTTATGAGTCACTCTACCTTGTGGGAGATGGCCAGTGTTAAAAAAAAAAATGAGCATGTTGCAAGGCTAGTATGCAACCCTTACAGAACTTGTGCTCTACAATCAAATACCTGTAAGTTGAGGTATTTGCTATTGCATCAACATAAGATATGCCTGCCTACTACTAAAATTATTGCTGAATATCATATAATACTGCACTATAGCAGCAAAATTCATAAAATCTCATCAAAATAATTTATTGTGTTGGGAAGAAATCACTCTGCCAATATCCCTCCAGAATCTTTAACACATCAATATCTTTAATGGCACTGCAATAATATTCAGACTACAGCACCAGACTGCCAGTTGTATACTAACCCTGAAAGAAAGAAACTGGAGTAACACCCCAAACTAGCCTCAAATTCTGGGTACCCATCCGAGACTGGTTCTAGGGTTTTCTCAGTCCACAATCATGCAAGGGTCATATAGGGTAGGTGCTGTCTCCAAGGAACTAGTGAAGGGGATAGGTACCTTACCACACATGTGAAGGAAAGAGAAACAGACTTCCAAGATTCCCAGCATCCCCATCAATATGACAAGCAGAGAAGACTTTCCGGGAACCACCATCCCTTCCCTACCCATTATACAGAATTAACTGAGCAAGGAAGGATTAGTAAAATTGACTGTTTAGACCAAGAATGCCAACAGTGTAATGTCATTCAGCTAATAATATATGAGGATAAAGTGGAATGAAAGGCTAGATCCATACACCTTTGGATACCACTTCTGGATACTTGGGCAACCTCCAGTAGTACTTCTGTCAAAAAAATTACCCAATTTCCTCAACCGTGTTAGGATGACTGTCATAGAAAAGAGTGAAATACAAAAGAATGGGCTATAGACTAGTAAATGGCATAATTATATACGAGTACACACAAATATAGATAAATGGATAACATACCGTATCTCAGAGTGCCTTTGTCCACAAGAGCTGCAATATGATTTTGAGTATTCTGAATAAACACCTTATCAGGTGTTTGTCTGGTGATCAGTGTGTGTAGGTTGCATGCTGTGCAGTAGTAAGCATCCAATATGGGAGCAAGCATGGTTGTCCATGCTCCTATGACTTCTAGTGAGGATGTGGATGGTACCATCTTGTAACACAGGGAGAAGGTCAGGTCATCCTCATCAGAGTCATCTGACCATCTGTTGTGTATGCTCTGCAAAGGTTTTTTTTATGTAACATCACAAAATATAAAGAATTAATTATACAAAAAAAAATGCCTTTTAAAATTTTATGAAATAAAGTTCAATCCAGTAATACAAAATGTATTTATAGTTTGATAACATTACTTTAAGAGATTCTAAATCAATATGCATCTCTATCACTGAATAATATTCTGTTCATGATTTCTTTACACCAAATTTTAACTCTCATCAAGTCTGTTTTCTCTTACTATAAAAAATACTAGTAATTTGTAACAGACTACCAAGAATTACTGGAGTGTGAATAAAAGCTAAATGCACAAATAAAAGACATGTACTCTCTATCTGCAACATTTTAATCACCTGATGTGCACAATTTTCCCTTATCACACTCTCCTGAGACAATGAGCCCACCTCTCATTGCCTTGTATCACTACTCACCCATTCATATCAATCATCATAAATCTTTTACTTGGATTTACTCATTTCTTTTCAGTACGTAAAACATACTGTATATGTTAGCCTATTTTAAATTTGTCACATTCTAATACACTAACATACTGTACTCTTGAATCATGTCATACACGTAAGTCATACATCTATATGATAGCTAGTATGCTAAGAGGGTATTGATAACTAGATGCAAACTGATGAAATTAAGACACATGTGCAACATCTGGGTATCTTTATTGTAGACGTTTCGCCATCCAGTGGCTTTATCAATACAAAATCTAGGACATAGCTTGAAGACAGTAGGACTATATACAGAAGATGAGGTAATCAGTCCCTCAACCTTGGAGTAGGTGATTACCTCGTCTTCTGTATATAGTCCTACTGTCTTCAAGCTATGTCCTAGATTTTGTATTGATAAAGCCACTGGATGGCAAAATGTCTACAATAAAGATACCCAGATGTTGCACATGTGTCTTAATTTCATCTTGTCGGTATTATATACCATTCTTGCACAACTGGATGCAAACTGTTAATAGTACAAATTAATATTTTAATTGAATTTTAAGCAAGTATACCTGAAATGGTGAATCATAAAAAGGCACCTGAAAACTACTAATATCAAAGAGCATCTTGAGTTAGGCACACTTATTTTTTTACTATATATAAGGCATTGCATGGCAGAAAAAATAAGTGCCAAATTCAAGCAGAGAAAAATGCAGGCATGGGGGAGAGTGGTGGTATACATAGAGCTCAAGTTGCTGTACTTTGTTATGGGGTATGAGCCTAATTTGCAGATGCAGAAGACAACATCTGCACATTCCCATAAACAGACAAGGAATCGATTCGTTCACTAACCCGGTTTTTGGCACTGGTGGCACTTGTTCTTTTCTGCCATGCAATTGCTCACATGTACTATACGTATCTTCATTTAATAAAAATTCTTTATTAAAGTAAGTTCCTGGTCCAGAAAAATGCGCATTAATGAGGTTTCAATCTACATGTAATTTGATCTCAGTGAATGAATATTCATCACAGTAAATACTGCAATAATATCCACTTACAGATTGAATATTCAAGTATTACTGCCAAGGATTTAAAAAGGGAATAGCTTTTTTTTTTTAACACACTGGTCATTTATTATATGTAAACAAAAAAATAATTCTTTTTGGGTCACCCCTGCATTGGTGAGCTATGGCCTGTTTGTTAAAAAAAAAAAAAAAGTTATTCTTCTTTCTTCAACAAATCGGCCGTATCCCACCGACACATGGTGGCCCAAAAAGAAAAACAAAAGTTTCTCTTTTTAACTTTAGTGATGTATACAGGAGAAGGGGTTACTAGTCTCTTGCTACCACCACTTTAGTCGCCTCTTACGACACACATGGCTTACAAAAGAATTCTGTTCCACTTCCCCATGGAGATAAGAGGAAATAAACAAGAATCAGTAAGAAAATAGAAGAAAACCCAGAGGGGTGTGTATATACAGGTCTGCCATCACAAATCTGGCATTCAGTTATTTAGTTCCTTCGGTTATTGGCACTAATTTCAGCTAGCATAATTTCAAATTTCCAGGGTCGTCACACCAACCTGCTGCTACTGTTTGGTGGCGCTACTTGCTGCATAAGTCATTCCAATTTCTTATTCTCCATTTATTGCTATAAACTGCTTACTTTTAGCCCTAGCCATGGTTCCAATGAATAAAAGAAACGTTTCTCATTGTGTAAAGTACATACACAGTACACTGTCCATAAAAGATAAGGTGGCTTTGAAGCCACTGTCGGTTGCCATGAGCTCAGTCTTGTGATGCAGAGCAATATGCTTTATTATTACACTAATATCAACACTATGGCTTATTTACCCATCACAAATGATCTAATATGACATAATAAACAATATAAATAACAAAAACATTGTAAATACTCTAGAATGAATAACATTTGGCATAATACTGAGCAGATTGACGGAGGTATGAAGAGGATATGGGATACAAGTACCATCCTCCTATTCTGTCTTTGGGCTTTATGTTAGAGAAAATGGAGTATAGCACAGGGCTAACTGTGATATACACTCGTAATGCACCCTAAAACAAACAAAAAAGCTATTTTCTCTACAGATTATCATACATAGCAGCACATGTGTAGAGAACCTAGGATAACCCAAAAAAGTCAAAGTGACTTATTTCCAGTACCTGGCTTGGGCTTGCCATATATGTATGATTTTTGGTAAATAGTTTTTTTTTCTCAGTTGTTTGTTGGGCTATTTTACTGAAACTTGGGCAATGTATGATGGAAAAAATTAAAAAAAAAAAAAAAAAAAAAAAAAAAAAAAAAAAAAAACTGATGATAAATAACGGAGTTCACTACTCAGCAATTAGCCGGCCCTTAGCGGTATATTTTCATGTAGTTCTTATGGTTGTATTCTCGTTTTTTTGGTCTCATTTGATAGAATGAAAGATATATTACAGAAATAAATATGATTTTGATTAGTTTCATGATGAAAAGTACCTTGAAATTGAGCTCAAAGTAGCGGAAGTGTTCGATTTTTGACGATGTTCAATGTAAACAAGTTATATCAAGCATCCAATATGTGTCAGCTGGTGGGTCTAATATGCTTTCACAAATGCGCTGATATTATTTATACCATTTTTTACAACAATTAAGTAGTCTGCATAATAGTAAATCTTTATTTTTTTTGTGTGAATAAAAACTCAAAATGGAAAACCCTCAAGGAATTTTCCTTGATGTTGGTGAGGGACTCTTGATCAAACATGAAAGGGCTAAATTTCCGGGGTCGCCGCTACTGTCTGGTGGCACTGCTTAGAGCATAAGTCATTCCAATTTGTTTTTCTCTCCATTTATTGCTAAAACTTTCTCACTATTACCCTAGCCATGGTTCCAACGAAAGGAAATGTTCCTCATTGTGTAAAGCGCAAACACCGTACACTGTCCATAACAGATAAGGTTGAACTTTTGAAAAAACTTAACAGTGGTGTATCTGTGAGGAACCTGTGTGAGTTATATAGCATTAACTCTTCAACAGTTTATGACATAAAGAAACAAAAAAAAAAATTACTGAGTTTCTTTGCTAACAGTGAATCAAAGAAACAGATGTGTAAAAGGACAACAAATGAGGGAAGGAAAAAGTTCAGAACTAGATCAGGTTCTAATGAAGTAGTTTAGGCTACATGTAAGTGAAGGTGTTCAGCTGTCTGGCACACTGGTGAAGGAACAAGCCAAAATTTTTCATGAATAACTAGGACTTGATTATGAATGTGATTACAGTGAAGGTTGGCTACAGCATTTTAAGGATTGATATGGCTTAAAGTTTCATGCAGTGTGTGGTGAAGAGCATTCAGTAGACACAGAAGCAACTGCTAAATGTGTTGACAAGTTCACCAAGTTAGTTTCAGATGAAAGTTAAGTCCTGAGCAGGTCTACAATGCAGATGAGACAGCATTGTACTGGAAATGTACACCAAGAAGAACTCTGACAACTGAGGATGCAGAATCACCAACAGGATATAAAGCATTGAAAGATCATGTCACTGTATTGGCATGCTCTCATGCCGCAGGAACGCACAAATGCAAGTTACTGTTCATCGGTAAAAGTTTACGTCCCAGGGCTTTCAAAGGCATGACAGTTCCTGTGATTTACCGTGCCAACAAAAAAAATTGGTAACTGAAATTACATTGAATTGGTTTGAAAATCACTTTCTTCCAGAAGCAAGAACTCACTGTGACTGTTGGTTTGGACCACAACTGTAAGGTAATGCTTATTTTAGACAGCTGTTCCGCACATCCGAAAGCAGAACTCCTGGTAAAGAACAACGTTTTTGGTATCTACCTCCCACCTAACTGCAAATCATTAATTCAACCCCAGGACAATGGCATACTATGTTCTTTTAAGTCTAGGTATCACACCCATTTTATGAGGCACCTACTTAGTGCAGTTAACTCTGGCAGACCAGTACATGAGTTTCTTAAGGAATTTAATGTGAGAGATATGGTTTACTGTGTTGCCAATACTTGGAAGTCTGTAGACGTATCCACACTGAAAAATGGATGGCATAAATTGTGGCCAGGGTTAATGTTTGAGATGGAACCTGGAGAAGATATTGAAAATGACTTTACAGGATTTAGGGCTTGAAGGAAAAACAGATTATACATAGACTGCTTTCTTTTGCTAGTGATCTGACTAATCCTGCTGCGAAGGATCTTGCATCGAGGATGGATGAAGTTAATGCTGGGGAATGGATGAATGTAGATGAAGATGCAGCTATTGTATGTCATTAAACTGACTCAGAAATTGTGCAGATGGTTGTAAATTCACAGTAGCAAGCCAGTGGAGGAGAAAGCATTGATGAAAATGAGGAAGATGTAGCAGAAAGTCTCTATTGATAGGTTAATTCAGTTGGCAAGTGAACTGCTAAAAGGTCTAGAGCAATGCAGTTTTATAAGTGAACAATAAATAATGAATGTTTACATGCTGTAGGATAAACTAATCAAAGAAAGGCCAAAATATATGAAACAACTCAGCTTGCAAGATATGTTCAAAATAATGGCTAAAAAGTGTGCAACAGAGGAGTCACCACTTGAAAATCTAGTGCCTTCAACATCTGCTCAGCCTGATGTGCTACCACTGTCACCATCAGTTCCTGATGAAGAAGATGGCAATCCTGACAGCCCTTCACCTCAAGACATGTAAATGTGTTTAGATGCAAATTTCAGCTATTCACTTTGGAAGCGGCAGTGGTGAACTTTCTTGTGTAAGTAAAGTTGGTTAACTTTATTAAGTGTATTCTAACTTAATCACTCTGTAATCCAGCAAACTCAGTAATCTGGCACACTACAGGCCCCACTGATGCCGAATTTGTGATGGAGAACCTGTATATGCTTGTACATACAAGTATAGTGTGACCTAAGTGCAAGTAGAAGTAGCAAGACGTACCTGAAATCTTGCATGTTTATGAGACAGAAAAAAGACACCAGCAATCCTACTGTCATGTAAAACAATTACAGGCTTCGGTTTTACACTCACTTGGCAGGACGGTAATATCTCCCTGGGCAGCTGCTGTCTACCAACCTACTACCTAAAAAAAATCTGTTATTATGTGAATATATATAGGGACCAACCCCAGCATTTTGTAGAAGACCCATGTCAACAAGACTGTCGACAGACTCATGGAGTTTAGTGTCCAGGCTGGCACACGGTGGGGCCAGCAGGAACTCATTCTGTAGCATCTCAGAAAGGCGTAGAGCTCGCTTGATTAACTGCAACAATAAACAAAATTAAAATTAATAAATAAAATTATATGCGGTAGATTTTTATTTAAAAAATGATAATTCCACTAAGAAATGATCATGTATTACAATAAAAATAAACTAAGTTACATACTCTCAAAACTTTGTTTTTTCCTATGTTCACTTACAATTTCTTTCTTTTGCACAACATCGAACTATATAAAAACTAATGTTGCAATTACAATCAGCACAAGTCCAGGCCTTTATAATCTCAATACAATCATAACTAGTAAAATCTAAGAAAGTTTTACATTATGTTGACAGACCAAGTTACTCTTTACCTGACTTTGCAATATGACAAAGTCAGATTAATAAGTAAGGTGCAATCCTCCTGTAGAGAGAGGAATGGTTTATGAGGTGGTTTAGTCTTTCAGAATGGGTGAGGCAAGATAGGCTGATCAAGCTGTATAAATTTGGTGGATGGAAGGTGTAGTAGACATTTCAAGAAGAGTTGAAAAATGGGGTATGATAGAAGTTTTAAGAGGCAGGCATTTGAATTTGATATACACATCCCCTTCACTTCCTTATTTCTTGTTCCACCATATTCCTGCTTTCTAACATTCCATTAACTCTTTCGATAATGATGCTATGTTTGCTTTAACACATGTATTTAACATACTTGTTACCCAATAATTCTTACATATATTCATAAACAAAAACTATGTGCAAGTACCCCTACATACCTTTTCTCTGTCTATTAAGATATCAAGTGAACAGTCCTTGTAGCTCCACAAATCACAGTCGAGTAATGACAGTAAACTGGTGGCTGAAAAAATAAGTGTGTGTTCAAAATAATCATTTTTTTTTTTTTCAACAAATCAGCCGTCTCCCACCGAGGCAGGGTGGCTCAAAATGAAAAACAAAAGTTTCTCTTTTTAATTTTAGTAATGTATACAGGAGAAGGGGTTACTAGCCCCTTGCCCCAGGCATTTTAGTCGCTTCTTACGACACGCATGGCTTACGGAGGAAGAATTCTGTTCCACTTCCCCATGGAGAAAATAATAATTACCAGTATTATTTAAATGAATCATAATATACACCACCTTCAGTATAAAATAAACCTAAGAAAATAATAGCTTAATAATTATGCGTTCATCATAATTTTAGAATTAACAATGACTGCTATGAATATTGGTAGCATATCTAAATTAATCTCTTCAGATTTTCAATAATATTATTGGTTTTTTTTTTTTCAAGTGACAGTTTTAACACAACTTATAATGAAAGCATGGCTGGACTTGTGCACACGTAAAACAGTTAATATTAAAAAAATTCATCATAAAGATGGGACAGTGGATGAAGGGATCAATTATGGGAGTTGTGGAGTACTCAAACCAAGAGGTTAGTTAATGAAAATAAGATGGATTCATCAGTAGATAATAAATATTAAAAAGAAGAAAACAATGAGAATAATCATTACAGAAAGAGCACTATTTCAAGGCTACTGTGGATTCTTGACACTCTGGCAAACCAGGAATGGAATTAAGTTATGCTGGAAGAACTTTAACTTTTTTTAACACGTCGGCCATTTCCCACCAAGGCAGGGTGACCCAAAAAGAAAGAAAAAAAAAAAACTTTCATCATTCAACACTTTCACCATCATTTATACATAATCACTGTCTTTCCAGAGGTGCTCAGATACAACTAAATACACAACACTGAACTATACTTACCAACAATAGCATCAACAGCAAAGACGGGAGTAAGAGCACTAGCATAATAGTTGAGTTCAATAACATTTGGCAGGAGGGTGATTGGTGCAATTAAGACATCAGTTTCTTCACACCTAAGCTTGTCAGTTTCCTGAGGCTTTTCTACTCTAACCAGTCCAGCTCCAAGTAGTTTAACCTGTAATTGTATAGCACATTTTTATATAACTGAAGAATAAAACTCAATTTTAAATGTTGTCACTAAGCTTCCCACACAAAAATTTGCAGTTATTAGACAGAGTATTATTACATGAACATGTAAATTACCAAGTAGCAAACTTACAGCATGAATAACAACATCTTTGGATTTGCCAGAAAATCCTGTATCCCGCTTTCGGGTTCTCAGAGAATCTCTAAGGGCATCGAGTGCTTTAGTGAGAGTAAATAAGCTTGTTCCATTACGGTACACAAATGATAACAACCAAGCTATAGCATTTGTTGACATGATAGCTTGACATCGCTCAGCATCTGTTAAACAAAATAATAAAAATTAACTCGTGCTATCTACTTGTTTTTATAATTCTGAAACAAAATTATACAATATACCAGAATACCCTATGCTTGTGTATTTCCTTTTGTATAATAAATGTTTAATCTAAATTTGAAAAAGGCATACCTCTGATAGCATTTTATTTACAAACTGTAGATCCTTAACACTTCTTTAACCCTTTGGGGGTCGACAGGTCCTCTCAGAGACTTGTTCTCAGGGTCGGCCAATTTTTTTTTTTTTTTCTTTGAAAAGATAGAGAATCTTTTCCCGGTCATAATGACACCAAAAGTATGAAATTTGATGAAAAACTTACGGAATTATGCTCTCGCGAATTTAGCGGTCTCGACGATGTTTATGCATCGGCAATTTTGCCCACTTTGAGCCCTATTTTCGGCCAATTCCAGTGTACTAGTCGACAAAAATCATAACTATTTCGCTAGAACTCCATTTTTTTCTACCGAATGAGTACAAGAAACCACCCATTTACCAATTTCAACTATCCAATAAAGTGGTCAAAATTTAGCAATTTTGCCAATTTCACACAAATTTCAAAAGATGCCAATTTCCGAATAGGGTCCAGAATAAACAAGAAAGACATTCCTGGCACTAAAATAACAAGTTTTCTGTTCGTTAGTCACATCCCCAGGCCCCTCTTATATTTCTTTGGCTTTCCACTTTGAATTTTTATTCTTACAAAAAAAAAAAAAAAATAAGATTTACTGTTATGCAGACTACTGCATTAGTGTAGAAATGGTATAAATAATATCAGCGCACTTGTGAAAGAATATTAGACTCACCAGTTGATGTGTATTGGACACTTGGCATGATTTGTTGACTTTTGAACTTTGGTAAAAATCGAACATTTCTGCTACTTTGAGCTCAATTTCAAGGTACTTTTCATTGTAAAACCAGTCAAAATCATCTCAATTTCTGTAATATGTCTTCCATTCTATAAAATGAGACCAAGAAAACTAGAATACAACAATAAATACCATACGAAAATACAGTGCAAAGTCGCTGTTTTAATCCAAAAACATGGTCAAAGCTTTTTTTTTCTCATTACGCACTGTGTTGCAGGATTTTTTTTATACTGCGCACACTGACCACACAGACCCATTCTTTCATATGTAGGCCTACCAGCTTTCTCTCACTAGATTTGAGGGCGCTAGAATTTAGGCGTACTAGTACGTCAAAAACCCTGGGTCGTAAGACATACTAGTACATCCGAAATCCCCAAAGGGTTAAGTAAATGACCTGAATTACAGTATATATGACCCAAAGTGCAAGTGGTGGTACTAAACTCAGAAACCATATTACAGTTTAGTTATCAAGCAACAACCTCACTCAGAAGCACTGGCCACTCATAGAAACAGTCCTGGGAAGACCACAGAAGTACTTTTTTTGCCCTGTGATGATTCTTAACTGTGGCCACATTCACTGCATCATTTGGTTATCTATAACTCATTAATATGTTAAATTATTATTGTAATCAAAGAAAACGCTAAACTGACATGGGTCATACAGCGGTAAATATGTTAAAACTAAGTTTGTCATCAAGCTCATTATTCAGTTTAGTAATAAACCTTTGTGTTGGGATACTTGATGCATGTGTTCAGTGCTTATGAAAAATAGGTGCCCAATGATTGAGAGATAACCTGTGTGGTTACAGAAAAAAGTCATACAAGACCATGTATGTATTGTAGGGTACATGTATATGAGACCAGTATTTGAAAAAATTGTGATTTTTAAGTTATAATAAAGACAAAGCACTGTGCAGTATGCTATTCTATATCTGTGACATAATTATTGCTTACCATAAACAATATGAGATGCTAATGACTTGACAAGATATCTATATTCATCTGTAACGTCATTTCCAAAAAGGGAGGAATTACTTCTTGCTTCATGTAGGTTAGAATTAGTTCTACTTATGGCATTGATAGCACTGGATGGATTAGATAAAGTTCTCTTCAGTCGTAGATGATCACTGGATGCTGGACTGGATAAAGAACGCTGGTGGCCCTTTCCTGTGACTAGAGTAGTAGTAGTTACATCTTGAGGAAGTGGTGCTAGTGGTTTCAAGTCACTAGCAACTGGTGAAGAGTTAACATTGATTGGGGTGGGGGAGAGGGGTGGTGTGCATCCCAGTATTATTTCACTTTGTGGCTGATTTTGAGGCTGATTTAAACCAAGGCGGGATGCAACACCCTTGGCATTCTTGACAAACTCCCGAAGGCTAAAAGGCTGTCCAAAATCAATCCTTGCATGACCATAGTTTGTAGAGAGCACTTTAATTATAGCTCTAACTGCTCCCCAAAATGATTCCGGAACCTGAAAATAATTTTATATATAAATTAAACATTTTTTTTTAACATGCTGGCCCTCTCCCACCAAGGCAGGGCGACCCAAAAAAGAAACTTTCACCATCATTTACACTATCACCATTTTTCCAGAGGCACACAGATATGACAGTTCAAATGTCCCTCCAAGCAGCAAATATCCCAAACCCCTCCTTTAGAGTGCACACACTGTACTTTCTACCTCTAGGACTCAAGTCTGGCTAACCAGTTTCCTTGAATCAAATATACGGATCTTATTTTAATAACGCAAATAGAGTGCAATAAATGCTGCCTTTAAAGCTGAGAAAAACAAATTAAAACAAAAATACTGAAGACCACTGTCTAAGATGTCAAAGTAGTATTAAGACAACATATTTTCTATTAATATAATGGGTGGGTATTCATAGTGATTATTCTTTCATTACTGCAAATTTTTCCCTAAACCTAAGCTGCTATTGCATATTCAAACTGAGGAAAAGATTTGGTTAATAAATAAATAAATAAACAAATAAATATATAAAATTTTTTTTTTTTTTTTCAACAAGTCGGCCGTCTCCCACCGAGGCAGGGTGACCCAAAAAAAAAAAAAAGAAAGAAAATCCCCAAAAAGAAAATACTTTCATCATCATTCAACACTTTCACCACACTCACACATTATCACTGCTTTTGCAGAGGTGCTCAGAATACAACAGTTTAGAAGCATATACGTATAGAGATACACAACATATCCCTCCAAACTGCCAATATCCCAAACCCCTCCTTTAAAGTGCAGGCATTGTACTTCCCATTTCCAGGACTTAAGTCCGACTATATGAAAATAACCGGTTTCCCTGAATCCCTTCACTAAATATTATTTATATATATATATATATATATATATATATATGTGGGTAAGGGGCTTGGACTTCCAGCAAGCGTGCGTGAGCGTGTTAGATAGGAGTGAATGGAGACGAATGGTACTTGGGACCTGACGATCTGTTGGAGTGTGGCGGGTAATATTTAGTGAAGGGATTCAGGGAAACCGGTTATTTTCATATAGTCGGACTTGAGTCCTGGAAATGGGAAGTACAATGCCTGCACTTTAAAGGAGGGGTTTGGGTATTGGCAGTTTGGAGGGATATGTTGTGTATCTTTATATGTTTATGTTCTAGACTGTTGTATTCTGGGCACCTCTGCAAAAACAGTGATAATGTGCGAGTGTGGTGAAAGTGTTGAATGATGATGAAAGTATTTCTTTTTGGGGATTTTCTTTCTTTTTGGGTCACCCTGCCCCGGTGGGAGACGGCCGACTTGTTGAAAAAAAAAAAAAAAAAAAAAAAAAAAAATATATATATATATATATATATAATTATATATTAATATATATATATATATATTATATATATTCTTTCTTTCAACACACCGGCCGTATCCACCGAGGCGGGGTGGGCCCAAAAGGAAAAAACGAAAGTTTCTCCTTTTACATTTAGTAAAAATACAGTTGGACCCCCCCCATAGCGACCTTAATCCGTGCAAGAGGGCTGGCTGTTATGCGAAATGTCGGTATGTGAATGAATTTCCCCATAAAAAATAAAGGAAATAAAATTAATCCGTGCAAGACACCCCAAAAAAGTATGAAAAAAAAATTTTTTTTTACCACAAAAAAAATGTTAATTTTAGTACACACAAACTGAAAAAGGCATGCACAATTACATGACACTTACTTTTATTGGAGATTGGTCCAAACTTAATTCTTCAATTAATCCCCTCCCAAATTTTCCCTTTACCAAAAACTTATTAAAAATTTTTTTACAATTTTTTTTTTCCCCTTTCCCATAAAAGGGATATCTGCTCTGAATTGGATTTTTTCTACTTTTTAAAAAAAGTACCAAACTAAACTTTCCCCCCTTTTTTAAAAATTTTTTGCCCCCTTTTCCGTGCTTTACCCCCCTTTTTTTAAAACCCTAAAACCCCCCCCAAATTCATTCCTTTTTTAAAAGTTAAACCCTTGGGGGGTTTGTTGCCCCCTTTTTTCCTTCTTTTTTAATTTTTTTAAAAAAAAATTAAAAATTATTTTAATTTTTAAAAAAATTTAAAATTTTAATTTAAAATTTTTAAAAATTTTTTAATTAAAATTTTTTTAAAAATTTTTAATTTTTTTTTTTTTTTTTTTTTTTATTTTTTTTAAGGCCTTCCCCACCAAGGCGGGGGCCCCAAAAAAAAAACTTTCACCATCATTACCCATCACTTTTCCAAAGGGGGGCACATACAGTTTTTAAACCACATTAAAACCCCCCTTAAGTGCAACCCTTCCCCTCACCCCGGACTCAAGTCCGCCCCCGTTTCCCTGAATCCCTTATAAAAATTTTTTTTCCCCAAAACAAACCCCTTTTAAATTTAAAAAACCCTTTTTCCCCCCTTTTCCCAAAACCGTCAAGATGGGAAAAATAAATGACACAAAATCCTTTTTTTTAAAAATTTACCCCCTACCCCCTTTTCCCTACCAACTGAAACCCTTTAAACCCCCCTTTTTTTTTTTTAATTCCAAAAAAAATTAAAAATTTTTTTAATTTATTTAATTAAATAAAATTCTTATTATATTAAAAATTTTAAAAACCTTTCCCCCCGCCCCCCCGCTGCCATTAAACGGGGTTTCCCCCTTTTAATTGGTAAAAAAAATTATCCCCCCCCCTTTTTCCTCCAAAAAAATTCTTTTCCCCGAAATCCCATCCCTTTTTCCCCCACAATTTTGATTAATTTAAAAACCCAGTGAAGTTCCCAAACTGGGTAGTTACCCCCTTATATTTTCCCCCCCCCAACTGAATTAAATTTCATACCAAGACCCAAACCTTTCCTTTTTTTCCCTTAATTTTTTCTTTTCAACCCCCCCCCAAATTAACCTCCTCCCCTCTCAAATATAATTTTTAAAAAAAATTTTAAAAATATATATAATATAATAATTATATATAATATAAATTTTTATATATATAATATTTAAAAATTTTTTTTTTTTAAGTTGGGGAAAAGGGAAAGTTTTAAAAAAAAAAAAAAAAAGGGATATTCAAAAATTTAAAAAAAAAAAAATAAAAGGGGGAGAGGTATGGAAAAAAGTTTAGAATTGGGGGGGGGGTTTTCTTTATAAAAAACCCCTTTATGAGGGAAAAAATATTTGGGGGTTAGGTTTTGGAAAAAAACCTTTTGGGAAAAAAAATTTTTTAAATTCCAAAACTCAATGGGGGAAGCTTGGTTAAAAACACACAGGAGACTTTTGGGGGGCAAGCCTTTTTCAATTTTAAAATTTCAAAATTTTGGAGGGGTTTGGGGGGTTTAAAAAAATTTATGGGGGGGAAAATTTTTTATGGTTTCTTTAAGAAAATCAAAAATTTCCCTGAAACTATAACTAAAAAAAAGGGGTTTCCCCCGAAATTAAAAAAAAGGGGTTTTCTTGCTTTCCCAAAATGCGGCTTTAAAAGGGAAAAAAGGGTACTTTTCCAAATCTTTTTGGGTTAGAAATTTTTTATAAATTAAAACCCAAATTTTAATTTCCTTACCCTAAAAAAGGGGGGCAAACCTTCATTTAAAGGGGGGAAAACATTTGGAAATATTTTTTTTTTAATTTTTCTTTAACTTTTTTTTGGCACCTCAAAAAAATATTTCGGGTTTTTAAAATTTTTTAAAAATAAAATAATTTTTTTGGGGTTTTTTTTTTTTTTGGCACCCCCTCGGGGAACGGCCGATTTTTTTTTAAAAAAAAAAAAAAAAAAAAAAAAAATAAATTATTTAAAAAATATAAAATTAATTAAATTTTAAAAAAAATTTTTAAAATTAATTAAAAATTTTTTTTTTTTTTTTTAAAAATTGGCACTCCCAAAAAAAGGAAAAATTTCCCAAAAAATTCCAAAATTAATTTCCCCAAAGCTGGCTTTCCACTTTTTGGGGGGTTTTTTTAAATTAAAATTCCCCCCAAAATTCTTATACAGGCCAAGGGGTTAGGGAAAATTTTTTAACCTAAACTTAAAACCTTTCCAAAAATTTCCCAAAAAAAAATTCCCCTTTTAACAGAAATTCAAAATAGAATTATTTTTTCACTTTGTCCTTTTAAAAACAGTTTAAAACTGAAATCCTCCATTTTATAAAAAGTTTAAAAACCCCCCCAAAATTTTTGTTTTAAAAATTGAAATTTAACATCCCTCTTACCTTAATTTCGTTTCTATACTTTCCAAAAAAATTTTTTCCCCCTTTAAGTTAACTCTTTTACACCTAATCTCCCTTTTTCCCTATAAAGTTTCCCTTTTTCCTCTAACAAAAAATTTTTACCCCCAAACTTACCGTTTTTGACCCCCAAACCCCAACCCCAAAACCCCAAATAAAATTTTTAATCATAAAACTGACAAATTCCATTATTCTTTTTCCACCCCAAAATTTCCCCTTTTCCCCTTTTTTTTAACTTTTTTTTTGTTGTAAAAAATTTCCCAAAAGCCCCCTCTTTTAAATTTAAATTCAAATTCTTCTGGGTTTTTTTTTAGCCCCTTTTCATTTTACCTTTTTTTTTCATTTTTTTAACCCCAAAACAAATTACAGGCCCCCCTCTGGGGCAAAGTTTGCTTAAAAATCCGGTGATTCCCACAAGGGGTTTTTTGTTGGGGGGTTTCTTTAATGTTGTCTATTTTCCCTAATAATGGGAAATGGGTTTATTATGGGGGCCATTGGGGAAAAAATTTTTACCTGAAAAATTTAAAAACACCCTAAAAGAAAGTTTATTCACCCTTATTTTGTATATGTTTTTAAAAAAGAAAAAATTTTGATGTGTTTTTTGGAGGAACCTCAATAAAATTGAGAAAGGTTTGGGGATTTTTTTAATCAGGAAAGTTTAAAAGGTTTCCCCTTTTTTCAATTACTTGTAAAGAAATTTAAAAAAAAATTTTTTTTGGGATCAGTTTTTAAAAACTGGCAAAAGTAAATTAACAAAATTTTTTTAAAAAAAATAAAGGGTTTTCCCAAAAAAAAAAAAAAAAAAAAAATTTAAAAATGTTTCTTTTTAAAAAATTTTTTTAAAAAAAATGGACTTAACAGCTGATTTAGCCCCATTAAAAAAGTAATTTAAAAAAACATTCTATTAAAAATGAAAAATAAAAAATCAAAATTAAAAATAAAAAAATAATTAAAATTATTAAAAAGGAACCAAGTAAAAAAACCCCGGGGAAAATCAAAAATTGAGAGGGGCCTTTTAATTTTTTTACTTTTAAAAAAGAAAAAATTTTTATTAAAAAGGGAAAAAAAAATTTCAAATAAATAAAATATACAATTAAAACCTGAAAGGCAAAATTTTAAAAAAATGCTTTAAAGGGAAAAAATTTTCAAGGGAATGAAAAAAAAAAGATAGGAAAAAAAATTTAAAATTTCTTTTTTTATTTTTAAAAAAAAAACCCCCAAAAAATTTTTTGGGTATGGGTTTTTAAATTTGGGAAATAAACCCCCAATTTCCTGTTAATGTGGGTAATAAAAACTCCAAAGATATTTTCCCCTTTTTTTCCGGGAAGTTAATGAAAACCCCCTTTTCCCCCAATAGCCATTTTTATTTAAGTCCAACTTTCCATCCCAACTTAATGTTTTCCTAATAAATAAAATTTTTTTTTTAAAAAAAATTAATGTGGGCCAGGAAAAAAAATAAAGAAAAAATTTTTTAATTTAAAAAAAAAGTTTAAAAAAAAGTTTTTAAAAAAATAATAAAAAAAAATTTAAATTTATTGATTCGAAAATCTCCGCAATAGCAAAAATTTCCTTTGCTTTATCAAAAAATTTTAAAACCAATTTTTCGAAATAACCCTTTTTAAATTTCAAAAATTTGGTTTAAACCGTTTACCCCCAAAAAGGGAATTTTTTATTTGGAAAATTGGAAAAAGCCAAAAAAAAAATTCAAAATCTTAATTCAAGTTGGAAAATCCATTGCCCTCAAAACTAACATTTTTAAAAAAATTTTGGGGTTTTTAAAATAAACCCTTTTGGAAAAACACATTAATGAAAATATTCGGACAAAAAGTTAAAAATTTTTTAAAAGGGGTTATTAAAATTTTTGAGTTTTAACCAAGGGGGATTTTAATGGAATTCGTTTTTTCGAACTAAAAATACTTAAAAATTTGCTTTTTTTTATTTTATGTAAAAATCAAAAATCTTTTTTGTTTAAATTTTATCATAAAGAAAGATTAAAAAAAAAAAATTGAAACATAAAGGTTACAAACTGTTTTAAAAAAAAAATCCCCAAATGCATTTCCCAAAATTTTTAAATTTTTGCAAAACCAAACATAGACTTTTTAATAAATTTCAAGGGGTAAAAAAAAAAATATTAGCCCCTGGTTCCCCACTTTTTTAAAAATTTTTAAAAAAACCTTTAAAAAAGGTTTAAATACAATTTCTTTTCCCTTTTTAGAGGAAGGAGACAATTACTTACCTGCATCTTTATGTGGGGAAATTTTTAAACGGGCCGGGTTTTTTTTATTTTTCCCCTTTTTTCCCAAAGGGCCCAAAGGATTAAAAATTTTTGGGGAGGCTTTTGGGTTTTGGGACTTTTTTTGGGGGTTCAAAGTGTACCCCTCTGAAAAAAATAATTGAGGGGGGAATTTGTTTTTTTGGTTTTTTTTTGGGGGGGGCTTTTTTTTTAATTTTTTGGGAAGGGAAATTTTGAAAAAAAAAAAAAGTTTTAAATTGGGGGAAAATTTTTAAAAAAAAAAGTTACTTAGAAAGGCCTCCCCTTTAAAAATTCTATTATTTTTTAAAATTTTCAATTTTTGAAAAATTTTAAAAACCCCCCTTTTCCCCCCCAAAAACCTATAAAAAAAAGTTTCAATTTTATGTGTAAGGAAAATGGCACGGAAAATCTTAATTTTCACATTTTAAAAAATTTTTTTAAATTTGGGGAAAATTTAAAAGTGGTTAAAAAAAAACCTTTTTAAAATAATTGGAAAAACCAATCAAAAACTTGACTATAAATTTTAATACTTTTTTAAAACAAATAAAAAATTTTTAAAAAATCTTTTAAAAAAAATGGGATAATAATCAATGGGTTTTTACTATGGGCCCCGGTTTAAAGGAGATCCCAAAAACTAAATAAAAAAAGTTTGGTGTTTTTGGTATTTTATTTTAAAACTTGGGCAATTCTTTCCCCCCAAGAGGCGTGTAAGGGATAAAGCCGAACGGGGATCCCTTTTTTTTTTGGGCCCAAACCCGGGTCCCTGGTTGCAAATGTCTTTTTTAACCATTTTTTTTTTTTTTTGTAAAAGGGGGGGAAGGGGGGGTTTTCCCTTAAAGGTTACAAGATAAAAAAGTTTTTTAACTTACTCCCGGAGTTCAAAAATAGTTGGGGGAAAGGCTTTTTGGGGGTTTAAGGGTTTAAGTTGAGGTTTTTGAAAAGGGGGCCCGTTGGGCCGGGGTGGGAAAATCCTTTTGAAGGGGGGGAAAATTTGCTTTTTTGGGGGGGTGTCGAAATCAAATGAGTAATTGGGGAAATTTTTTTTTTCTTTTCGGGTCATCCCCACCTTGTTGGGGGGCCGGGGAAAAAAAATGTTTAAAAAAAATAAAATTATTAACATAGTTTCTAACGATGTACTCAAGAACGTGATGAGGATGATGAAAATACTCAGAGAGGATAACAGAAACAGTGTAGTCTATATTTAGAACATGTGGGTAAGCTTATAAGCCTTGCTTACAAAGAGTACCTGATAATTATGACCTAGCAGGCTTTATGGAAAAAACAGATATGAATGATATCCTGACACCATTAACAGGAAAAACAAAAGCAGTACCGAAGGGGTGTAAGAAAATGTGCAGAGTGGTAGACTGCTGAAGTAAGACTCATGAGGTAACATGTAGTACAGCTACTGGAAACTAACAAATTATACACTGAATATGAGACACCTGATACTATAACCATATACTATATAATCACATACAGTATAGGTAATATCTCTCTCTCTCACACTCACACACACACATGCATGCATGCATGCACACATGTACACACACATGCATGTACACTTGTACACACACAGGCATGCACACTTGTACACACACATGCATGCACACATATACACACACATGCATGCACACATGTATACATACATGCACACATGTACATACACATGCATGCACATGTACACACATGCATGCACACATGTACACACACATGCATACACACATGTACACATACATGCACACATGTACACACATGCATGCACATGTACACACATGCATGCACATATGTACACATACATGCATACACACACATGCACACATGCATGCACACATGTACACACACATGCATGCTCACATGTACACACACATGCATGCACACATGTACACACACATGCATGCTCACATGTACACACACAAATGCATGCACACATGTACACACATGCATGCACACATGTACACACACATGCATGCACACATGTACACACACATGCATGCACACATGTACACACACATGCATGCACACATGTACACACATATTCATGTACACACACATGCATGCACACATGCACATACTCAAGTACACACATGCACACACACAGTAGAACCCCGTGTATCCACTGATTCGATATCTGCAGTTTCAGTTATCCATGGTTTACTTTGGTTTAATTTTGCATAATAATGGCCCCAAAGCACAATAGTAGAGAAGCTGGCAGTTCTTCAAAGCCTAAGATAAGCCATGAAGTTCTTCCCATCAGTGAAAAAGTGATATTTCTCCATAATTTATCAATTTAATAATTCATCAATTGAATTTTATAATAGGCATGTATAATTTATAAATTAAATTTTATAATATGTATGTATAGGAGCTATATATAGGGTTTGCTACTATCCACAGTTTCAGTATCCATGGCAGATCCTTGGAATGTATCCCCTGTGGATACAAGAGGGTCTACTGTACTCTATCCTCGTACCTAAAATATGAAAATTACAAAACCTACCCAAAGACAGGAATGCGTAGATTATCCCCCGCAGCAACAACAGGCGCTGGGATCTGCCGGTTGAAAAGTACCCAGGTAACAAACAAGTAGTCAACATGTGAACGGTGCAATGGAACGAAGATAATGGGAGTATCTCTTTTTGCTGCTCTCTCAATCACTTCTTGCTGACCTCCATGTATGGTTACTGACATCAGAAGATTGCTGAACACTTTGAACAATACATAACCTGTTAATCTGAAAACACAAAAAAAATACAAACAATTAATAATGAAAGTTCAGTGTACAACTAGCTTAGTGTGTATAAATTGGGGCATTTAAGGACAGCAATGCTCATATGTAATTATATGTCTGTACTTGTGTGCAAAGATGTGATGCAGAAATTGCATTAGAGTAAAGGTGAAAGAATGTAAACACAAAAGTAAAATCTAGAAATATCAAATCAGATCGGATGCAAAATAATAGGCAGCAGTGCATATAACCTCATAACATCACTAGTTTTTTTTTTTTAACAGGTCAGCCATCTCCCACCGAAGCAGGGTGACCCAAAAAGAAAGAAAATCCCCAAAAAGAAAATGCTTTCATCATCATTCAACACTTTCACCTCACTCATACATAATCACTGTTTTTGCAGAGGTGCTCAGAATACAACAGTTTAGAAGTATATATGTATAAAGATACACAACATATCCCTCCAAACTGCCAATATCCCAAACCCCTCCTTTAAAGTGCAAGCATTGTACTTCCCATTTCCAGGACTCAAGTCCGACTATATGAAAATAACCGGTTTCCCTGAATCCCTTCACTAAATATTACCCTGCTCACACTCCAACAGATCGTCAGGTCCCAAGTATCATTCGTCTCCATTCACTCCAATCTAACACGCTCATGCACGCTTGCTGGAAGTCCAAGCCCCTTGCCCACAAAACCTCCTTTACCCCCTCTTCCAACCTTTTCGAGGACGACCCCTACCCTGCCTTCCTTCCTTCACTAGTATCTCATGAATTTCCCTTTCATTTGAATGAAATTTTCTAGCAAAGCCAGTGACTGTCCTCCCATACTGAATAAAAGGAAAAGAAGTATAATGAAATGCAAGAAATACAGAGGAATAATTTTTTTTACCATAGGCTGTAACTAAATGCTGTATTTATTAACTGAGTACAATGAGCTGCAAAATCTTTTAAGCCAAGAACATGAAGGGCCAGAAGACAACACAGTAAAATACAATGACATTAGAATTTTGAGCTTATAAGGATGTCGCTTCTCTCCTTTCCCCTGGGAGAATGCTGTTCCTCTCATGAGAAAGAGGAACAGTAAATAAAATGATAAACTGCATAAGAAAAAATAATATAAAAACATTATATTATAAATATATATATAGATATGTAGGTAGTAGGTTGGTAGACAGCAACCGCCCAGGGAGGTACTACCATCCTGCCAAATGAGTGTAAAACGAAAGCCTGTAATTGTTTTACATGATGGTAGGATTGCTGGTGTCCATTTTTCTGTCTCATAAACATGCAAGATTTCAGGTACGTCTTGCTACTTCTGCTTACACTTAGGTCACACTACACATGTACAAGCATATATATACACACAACCCTCTGGGTTTTCTGCTATTTTCTTTCTAGTTCTTGTTCTTGTTTATTTCCTCTTATCTCCATGGGGAAGTGGAACAGAATTCTTCCTCCATAAGCCATGCGTGTTGTAAGAGGCGACTAAAATGCCAGGAGCAAGGGGCTAGTAATCTCTTCTCCTGTATAAATTACTAAATTTAAAAAGAGAAACTTTTGTTTTTCTTTTTGGGCCACCCTGCCTCGGTGGGATATGGCCGGTTTGTTGAAAGAAAGAATATATAGACATATATCCTAGGTAGGTTGGTAGACAGCAACCGCCCAGGGAGGTACTACTGTCCTGCCAAGTGAGTGTAAAACGAAAGCCTGTAATTGTTTTACATGATGATAGGATTGCTGGTGTCCTTTTTTCTGTCTCATAAACATGCAAGATTTCAGGTACGTCTTGCTACTTCTACTTACACTTAGGTCACACTACACATACATGTACAAGCATATATATACACACCCCTCTGGATATTCTTCTATTTTCTTTCTTTCTAGTTCTTGTACTTGTTTATTTCCTCTTATCTCCATGGGGAAGTGGAACAGAATTCTTCCTCCGTAAGCCATGCGTGTTGTAAGAGGCAACTAAAATGACAGGAGCAAGGGGCTAGTAACCCCTTCTCCCGTATAAATTACTAAATTTAAAAGAGAAACTTTCGTTTTTCTTTTTGGGCCACCCTGCCTTAGTGGGATACGGCCGGTGTGTTGAAAGAAAGAAGATATAGATATATATCCTAGGTAGTAGGTTGGTAGACAGCAACCGCCCAGGGAGGTACTACTACTGTCCTGCCAAGTGAGTGTAAAACGAAAGCCTGTAATTGTTTTACATGATGATAGGATTGCTGGTGTCCTTTTTTCTGTCTCATAAACATGCAAGATTTCAGGTATGTCTTGCTACTTCTACTTACACTTAGGTCACACTACACATACATGTACAAGCATATATATACACACACACCCCTCTGGGTTTTCTTCTACAGTGGTCCCTCGATAATCATAAGCTCGATAGTCGGAATTTTAAAAAATCGTAACGTTATTTTCATCAAAACATTGGCTCGTGAATCGTCGTTTGACTCGCAAACAGTCGTTCGTCTGGGACGTGTACACACAGCCCTGAGCCACCTCACACCATTCCCAGCCAGTGTGCCATTGTTTATCAGTGAGTGAGGATGATCCACGAGTTCATATGATACATTTCATAATGTTCCATTTATTTTAGTGCTTGCAACTGCTAAGTAAGTCACCATGGCTCCAAAGAAACCTAGTGCCAGCCCTTTGGTAAAGAATGTGAGAAACACACATAATTTAAGAAAAAATTTGTAGAAAAATTTGAAGGTGGTGGTGGTAGAGTGGAAGCAGTTGTGATAGTGGTATAGGGTGGTAGTGATGGTGGTAGGTGGTGGTAGCAGTTGTAATAGTGGTAGAAGGTGGTAGCAGTTGTAATAGTGGTAGAAGGTGGTAGCAGTTGTAATAGTGGTAAAAGGTGGTAGCAGTTGTAATAGTGGTAGAAGGTGGTAGTGATGGTGGTAGCAGTTGTAATAGTGGTAGAAGGTGGTAGCAGTTGTAATAGTGGTAGAAGGTGGTAGCAGTTGTAATAGTGGTAAAAGGTGGTAGCAGTTGTAATAGTGGTAGAAGGTGGTTGTGATGGTGGTAGAGGGTGCCTTCTTCAGTGATTCAGTGATACTACTAACTCCTCCAATGTTGTTGGAGTTATATAGGGCTACAGAAAACACCGGCGCCTCAGCTGCTGCTTCACCACCGTTATGGACGGCTTACTCTCAGTGGCCCTTATACACCCAACAACAATACAACACAACACCTTGTGTCATACATAATGACTTATTTTATTCATTCTAGAGTATATTCCATGTTTCTATGTTATTAGTATTGTTTATTATGTCATATTAGTTGAACTGTGATAGATAAATAAGCCGCAGAGTTGATATTAGTGTCATATTCTCCAACAATAAACTCGCCATCCCTCCCTCACACAACCAAGTCTTCAATAAAGGCAAGTGTGATGTTAAATAAGTACATAAGAACTTAAGACAGGAGGAACACTGCAACAGGCCTTGTGGCCCATACTAGGCAGGTCCTTCGCAAATCCAACCCGCTAACAGAACAAATGCTACCCAAGTAAAAAGCTCAGGTGCAAGTCTGACTCAAATCCAACTCCTCTCACTCATGTATTTATCTAACCTAAATTTGAAACTACCCAAGCCATAGCTTTTAGAACATAAGAACATAAGAAAGGAGGAACACTGCAATAGGCCTGTTGGCCCATACTAGGCAGGTCCTTCAGAAATTCAACCCACTAACAGCATAACTGCTACCCAAGCAATAAGCTTTGATAAACCTATTTACTCATGTGCAAGCCCGATTCAAACCAACCCCTCTCACTCATGTATTTATCCAACCTAAATTTGAAACTACCCAATGTTTTAGCTTCGATCAACCTACTAGGCAGACCGTTCCACTCATCAACTATCCCTATTACCAATGTTCATTTGCATTTTATTAGTGCTTTACATTTATTTGGTATTCTTTTCTGCATGTAGAAGTATAGGTAACAGATGTCCAAAAGTTATTTTACAGCTCTATACATCACTAGTGAGGCCTCATTTAGATTATGCTGCTCAGTTTTGGTCCCCTTACTACAGGATGGATATAGACTCATTAGAGAACATACAGAGAAGAATGACTAAAATGATTTAGAAAGGGCATAGGTAAGTACTGGTTTTCTAACAGAGTTGTAGATGCGTGGAAGTCTTCCCAGTGGGGTGGTAGACGCTAGGACCTTGGGTAGCTTTAAGAAGAGACTGGACAGATGTATGAGTGGGAGGGGCTGGGTTTGACTGGTGTCATTGGGTACGGGAGTTATTTCTTGGGTAGCTTTGGGTACAGGTCGTTTTGATAAGGACCTGCCTCGCATGGGCCAGAAGGTCTTCTGCAGTGTTCCTCCATTCTTATGTTCTTACTGTGTAAGGAACCTCCCGTATGAAGACAGACTTAAAGCCTTAAATCTCCAATCTCTGGAGAGGCGTAGAACGAGGGGAGATATCACTGAGGTGTATAAGTGGATGATGGGCATAAACAAGGAAGATATTAATAAAGTACTGAGGGTGTCGAACCATGTAAAAACCAGAAATAATGGATTTAAGTTGGATAAATTTAGATTTAGAAAAGACATAGGTAAGTACTGGTTTTCTAACAGAGTTGTAGATGCATGGAACAGTCTTCCCAGTAGGGTGATAGAGGCTAGGACCTTGGGTAGCTTTAAGAAGAGATTGGACAAATATATGAGTGTGAGAGGCTGAGTTTGATTGGTGTCATTGGGTACGAGAGTTATTTCTTGGGTAGCTTTAGATAGAGGTCGTTTTGATAAGGACCTGCCTCGCATGGGCCAGTAGGCCTTCTGCAGTGTTCCTCCATTCTTATGTTCTTATGTAAATCTATATTTAAGCTAGGGAAGTGACCCCTGAAGTGACCTAGAGTCCTTATGGAGGGGGATTTCCCTTCCAAACAATAACCTCTCTTCCCACTCTCCTCCTCCCTGTCTTCCATTTATCAACAACAGCCTTCAATAAAAGTAACTCTCATGTTGAATGTTCATTCTTT